TCTGTCTGTCTGTCTGTCTGTCTGTCTGTCTGTCTGTCTGTCTGTCTGTCTGTCTGTCTGTCTGTCTGTCTGTCTAGCTAGCCGCTCGGTAGGATGGAAGGTGGTAGCGACTCGCAGGCATCACCACGAACTCATTGAAACGTGGACTGGGTCACAGTCATCTGTCTTTCGAAGACGTAACGACGGTCCTTTCTGCGAGCTAAAAGCGAACATCAACAGCCGCCCACTGACTTATCTACCTAATGATCGCGAGGACCCAAGCCTACTCACACCTTCACAATTCCTGCTTAGGCAAACACGCAACATACTCGCCGCCACATTTCAGCGCGGCTATACCTCAATCAACGAGGTATAGCCGCGCTTACGTATGTATGTATGTACGTATGTATGTACGTATGTATGTATGTACGTTTTTTTCTTCCTTGCGAAACGCAAGGAAGAAAAAAAGAAACAGAAAAAAGCTCTGCTGCGCGAAATCGAATTAGGTCCTTTCAATCGTGAGTGTGAGGCATTAACCACGGCACCACCGAACAGCACGTCTTCCAACGTTCAAACAGCGAGCTATTTTTATCTACCACTTACCGCTGATGACGGGCATCCCGGGTGGCGTAGTGTTTTCAGCATTACCAGCGTCACCACATCGCGCCGCGGCGTGCGCTCTAATCTCCCAAGCGTACTTTGCTCCGCTTAGAGGAGGGGAGCGATGCTGCATCGCTCGACTTTATCTCGCGGTGGTGAAGAGGGGAGGACCGCACGTCTTGGCTGAACTCAGGCTTTACTTGGAACGATTCTGTGGTAGTTAACGGGTGCACAAAGCTCGCTGCATTGTAGTTTCCATTTGCGAGAAGCACGCGCTTTCCAGACACAGCGAAGTAACAACTGAGATGCTTATTCGCGTGCACCTGTACCTGTGAGTACGTTTCGTGCGTCACTTGTGCATGAGAAACGCGGGACGCGTTTTAATCTGCTTTCCATTCCGCGCGTGACCTTCAAGTTTTTGCTATCGCGTTCATCGCTAGGGCTTTGCGGCAGAGCTGTGACTTTTTATTACAGCAATATCTCTATAACTCCACGTCTCCCAAAGCCCAAATCGCGTCATGACGATCTTGAGTTGCTGGAGGCCAAGTGTGGCAAGCATGATGTCACGGCGCGTAAGTCGCTGCCGAGGGGCCTCACAGCTCACACGAAGCCTCGGTGCCGTGACACCATTTGACTAGGTGCAGCTGAACAACCAACAGACACTCGCGTGTTGCTTCTCATTTCTTTCCACTCTTTACACTTATTCCCAGTGGTCCTCGCTACGTCACCTGTCCGACCAAGTAATGTAACAAGTAACAGATGCAGCAAGAACCTTTTTTTTCTGCTAGGATCGAAATGGTCGCACTCCCTGCTCTTTCTCTACGCACACTCAAGAGGGGCGCTTGATATTTGGGAAGCAACGAACAGGAAAATAAAAAGCAGCAGATCAAGAGCGAAGCGTGAAAGGGACGCGCTTCTATTACGATATGCGCGTAACTTCCGCTAGTGTTTGCTTTAAATGAAAGCGGACGGAGGTGCAACGTCACAACTATTCTGAGAGGTCTAAGTGGGTTATGATCTTCATGACGGTTGTGTAACCAGTGCTTTGATGGGCTGAATATCCCCATTGGTGGCGTGCCAATAGACCGATCCCACCAGCCGATCAGCGCATGCGCCGGTTTTCCGGAGTTGCCCCGCCGCCATCTTAGTTGTAGTCAATCGGTCAACCAGACTACAGCGACTACGCAGTGGCCGCCGCTTTTTCAGTACTGCGCCGGAGCTTCGCGGACGTCTCTCCGATTTCACCAGCAAGAAAAAGTCGTCATGTGAGTATTTTCAATACCTACATTGTCTGTTAATGGGAGCAGGCGGCGCGAATTTCGGTCATAAGTGCCTGCTACTCCTTCGTTTCGGCGGGACTTAGGACAGCCACCCGTTCATTGCCTGTTGAGTACCGTTTTCATTTGAGTGATGTATGTAAGCGGTTGTTCTGCGCGACTGTTTTTTTCGCATGTGCATCTCGGGGATTGCAACGTTTGTTTGCACAGTGACGTGCTGTTGGGGACAGGCTTTATATGCGGCGCCGAACCTTTCGTGTCTTACGGCACTTACGTGCACGAGTGTCGCGTTCAACATACAGCATTTGGTAGTAATAATATTTGAAATTCTTAATTTGGGTGGCGTTCTGATTTTAGTCCACCGAACGACGCGGTCGCTATATTTTGAAAACTATTGACATTGTAGCGTCCCATGTTTCGCGCACGTGAATATGCAAACGCGCCGCTCTCCATTAGCAGCTGTGATACGCATTCATCAGTCATTCGCACTTGTCGGTTGAGCCGTGAAGTACGTTACGTCGTTTCTAAAAAGTAAGGTCTCGATGTACGGTAGAGCTATTAGGAGAGCCTCGTCAATGAGCTTGCCTTCCCCTTATGCCTGCATGCTTGCCACTTGCGTTGTGAAAAAAAAAAAACGCAAGCCGCGTACGTGGTGCTGCACTTGCGCAACATGGAAAACTAAAAGACCTCAGCACTACAACTCGTAATAATAATAATATTAGTACGCAGCGGTAACAAAAAACGCTAGACTAAGGAAGATGCGCTAAAAAATGACCGGCATGCACAACCGCGAACCGCGGCTGAGCTATCCGGTAAGAGTATACGCAGGCAGAGTGAGCAAAGATCATATTCTTTGGTATGCTAAGCTTCATGATTAAACATTCACATAAAAAAAAGCACCGCAATACGCTTATTTAGTTTCAAAGCGGCACTATACATTTAATAAGATGTCTTACCTGCCGCCCCGTCCAGCCCTGTTGATACGCTGAATCCACGTCTCCCGAAGCTTTTGCTCTTTAGGAAAGACGTAGAAACCCAAGCCTTTATCCCTTGTGCTGTTGTTGTAGCATCCAGGAACACAGCACGTAAATCCTCCCATCGTAAGACGGCTCCACACGACCGAAAAATCTATCGAAAAGGGAACGCTCAGGCACTTCGGCTGGCTGGTGCGCCCGGACGACTACAAGTACCGGCATGCACCGCGGCTGCCGCGGCAGCGGTGGCGTCGCGAAACTGGCCTGTGGGATCGGTCTATTGAGTCATTTGTCCGTGCGCGTTAGCGCAAGCGACCGTCCAAATGCCTTTGTCGAACAGACTACGCCGGATGACCTACTAGAGGATCTCCATTTTTAAAAAAAAAGTAAAATATGCCTGCTTAAGCACCGGAGCTAAAACAGGTTTTATTTAAGGCTTAGTTTTGGACCACAAGACCATTTTTGTCAGATTTCAAGAAACAGAAAAAAGGCATATCATCTGATTTGCAGTAAGACCTTACTGTAATAAACGACTGTATGCATAGCCTTCGCAAAACCAAGCGAAACGTGATTCACCCATGATCACTAGGTCTACAACAGTTAAACCTCAGTTAATTTTGTTTATTTTGTGTTATTGCGAGATACTAAATGTTCAATCTTTGAATAACATGATATGCAACTTGAAAGCAAGCGCCCTAATAAATACCTAAATAAGGTATTTAGTGAATATTTGCTATTCAGTTACTGTGGTGATGACTGCCGCGCGAAGTTCTACGACTGTCGTTTTGAAGTTCTGAGACCAATAAATGTCATTTCCGTATAAATAGTTCGTATATAGATATAGCTTTTTCTCAAGCCCTTCAATTCAGGGCAATGCCCCATTTCGTTGTCTTTTTCAATGGCCCATTAACAAAACCTTTCATTTAGGTATACATTCCCGTATGCCTTTACAAGCTGCGTTCTAAGGAACATATTGAAGAATATCCAGAATTGACGCTACAGCAGTGCAATGAACTTCACCGTAATCCACCAGTACAAATGTCAACACTATGTGTGATATTAAAATTGTTTGACTGAACTTCAGCAACATTTTCTAGTAATGTCGATAGAAAATATTGATGTACGGTCATGGGCTTTTATGAATCAAAGTACTGACTACATTAACACACAACATACACGTGGTATATGGCGTAATCATATCGGGATTTCGAGGCTGCTCTAAAGACGCAGGGAAGCTGCCTGCTGCTACTGAGGGCCGTAAAAGCGCAGGTTATTCAAGAAAGTACCTGATCGAAGTTGCCAACTTCGGATGCCTAATACTTGGTAGATCTGCTGAAGTGTTCAGCAAATTCAGCGAGTTCAGCGAGTGCCAGTACGGTCAATTTTGAAATTTTTATTGAAAACTACATGGAAATGACAAGGCATGTGGATACCTGAAAAACTCTATACGTATGCAAAATGTTAACATGTGGCAGATATTTTACGAGTGCACACGTATAGGAAAACATGCTGCTTCATGAGGCTAAATGGTGTTTACATTGTAGAGCAGTTGACCCCAAAAAATATTTCCTTCAAGGCGATAAACGTAAACAAGAAAACACTGCACGTGAGGCATGTAAGCGTATACTCGGGCGTATATAAGTATACCGAAGCGGCCCTTTGGACTATGCCCTGTGCCACCACGCATTGTTTAAAAACTGAATGCCGGCGCAACACTAACAAGTGCATCATTTTGAATAATACGGAGGGCAATCGCACGTACTGACGAGCTTAAGATGTTGCCATTCACAAATTCCTTTTTTTTTTGCATTCTACTGGGCGTTGTTTATTCGTTACAACGAAGGGCATAATAGAAAAAAATGCAGGCAGCTTATTTTATAGCTTCGTTTCAGAACTTTTCAGGCCCTGTGCACTTGCAACACTTCTGGATGCTAAGTGGTCGCATAACACAAAAAGAGTGCAAGAAAATTGCTTTGACATCGAACAGCCTTTCCGAATTGTTTCGTAAAAGGGGTTGGAGACGAGCTTATAAATGATTAGGATGAATAAAAATGTCATACGCATCTGTCGACCTGATTGTTCTTGTCCTTAAATTTCTGATCTACGTCGATGGGCAGAGGTAGTGGTGGGTAGACTGCTGACCGCATAGTATTTATGCTGCGATCGAAGTGTAAAATTCACGCAGAGATATTTTGTGGAGAAGCTTAAGCCCATCTCAATAAGGTCTACCTGTGAGTTGCTACAAACCACTCAATATACCAGTGGATGATGGGTGAGCGGTACTTTGCATGTGCTTTTGTTATAGTGACAGTTAAGGCTTGAGATAGAGACGTATACTGATCTAATGATGGTATGCCATGCTATAGTTACAAAGAAGACAATTTTGACTTTACTTACGTCAAATCAGATATATAAATAGTTGAGCAAGGGTTAACCGAAGTATTCCTATAGTGCCACAAATGAAGCAAAGCTATCAATTTAAAAAACTTTTTTGAAAAATACTGTTAACTGCTCTACCTGTGTCATTAGCACGAGTAGATTAGTTTATTCCGAGACTACTTTAAAGATGTGAAAACAACACCAAGCCTACAGTTTTGTAAATGTTGTTGTTTTTATCCAGTTTTTGAAGAAAATTGAAAAAAAAGAAGACAAGAGACAGCATAATAAGAGATAACCTGGCAATCAACTGATTTTACATTCCAAAAAGACTATTTGTGGGTCAGGATGAATTACCACCAAACCTCTATTCGTGTTTTGTTTTACCCTCCTGTGCACAAATTTTTCCAGAGTGAGCTACTGTGGACGGTGAAGGTCTCCTTCTGAGTCCTGGTTTGTTTTACTTACTCCGCGTTTCATGGTACCACATCCATAGCGTGTGTCCGCTCCGTTGGCATCCGTGGCTCTCTACTTTTTTACACTTTTAAAGGGCAGAGCAAGTTAGGGACCAGTCTGTCGTATGTTCTCATCGAACTATGTCTCTTAGCGTAACGCAGGCAACAGCCTGTATAGCGCAGCCATATTTATAGCAGGGGTGCCAAATAGGCAAGTGAAAATGAGGCACAGCTATCTGAGGATGAGGAGCACGGAAGAGTGAAAAGGAGGGGGATGAAGATGGTTTGATCACATTATGTCACCTTGTGGATCCCTTGGCCCCCGCCACGCAAGTGAAATAAGAAGTATAGCCATGTAAAGCAGGGGGTGGAGAAGGGATAGAAGAGATTCTTGAATTGAAGGAGGGTGAAGGGTGGGGTTAAGCAATGCAGCAACTGTCTCTCATGCAAGAACACCAGAACCGTGACACTCGAGGGAGAAGGGGGAAAAAGGTAAGAAAAGAACTACGGGGAATTTAGAGGCATGGGTGTTGGGGGGGGGGGGGGGGGGTAGTGTAACAAAGGATGGGCAGCTTAACACACACAGACACAGCTATTGAAGTTTCTCGCCATCAGGTTGAGTCGGCGTGGTCTAGAGACGGTCAGCCAGTTGCGCAACCTTGATGAAGTTGAGGACGGCGCGCAGGGCAGAGCGCACATGTTGGGCCGATCATACCGGGCTGAGAATACCATCCACTGTAGCAGATGACAGTCCCAGGTGCTTGTAGCAACGCACGAGCGCTTCGCGTTACCCGCACAGGGCTGGACAGGAGAAGAAGAGATGCGCAAGGTTTCTCTTTCCCCACAGGAAATGCAGGAGGGCGAAGGCGCTTTCAGGAGGGGGTCTCGGCGATCAGCTGGCTAGACGGAACCGGTCCGGAGTGCGAGAAGGAAGAAACGCTCCTTTTTGGTTTGTGTAACCTCCGGTAGAGGGCGTGGTGAAGAGCCGGAGTTCTAGGGCTTTACCAGTGGCTAGAGTTCCTCTAAGCACGCCATGCATGTTTTCCTTCTTTTATGATGCACACGATCCCTCCACAGCTTTGGAGGGTGGAGACAACCACGTTGTCTGCTACGGAGTCCGCCATTACGATGCCCTTTCCGTAAGCCGCATATAGTCACGAAGGTTAGCCAACGAGTGCTGCGCGACTGTACACAGAGTTTGTTACGTCAAATCGTGTGGTACTCAAGCAACATGAGAAAAATACAAAGTTTTTTCATTGGAAGTGTGAAGGTCTTAGCTATCTAGTCTCTAGTCTTTATTTTTAAAGTGACATTACCCGATGAAGTTGCTCGCAGCAGAAAGAAAGCGTCGACGCAAGCCGGGTTAACACCTTCACTTAGCGTCTTTTTGTAAAATTCACTTCCTATTTATGTAGGTTAAAGATGTGAAACACCCACACCTAAGCTACATGACCTTTTAATGTGTCTGTCTGTTGTGCGCATTCCACAAAAGTGTAAAAACAGTTTGCCATTTGCCAGCTGGTTGAAAAAAAGAATAAAAAATTTGTGATGTCGAGAGGAAACAGAAATATCACAGCATATCCACGCAGTGGATGTTGATGTGTGGGGCGAAGCGTTTACCCTTGCTTCCATCCGTGCTTCTGTCCATGCGTCCATTCATGCGTCCGTTCGTCAGTACATCCGTCCGTCCAGCATATCCACGGAGCACAGCATAGCACGGATAGACGAACGCTTCGTTCCACTCATATTCATTAATGATGAGTGGGGCTAAGGGTACGTCTGTTCGTCTGTTCTTGCTTCCGTCTGTGCATCCATCTGTCTGTCTGTCCGTCCGTCTTTCTGCCACTCACACTAGCGCCGCATGCTCAGTGACTCATACAACTAGGTGGTTACGAACCGGTCGCAGACATGCATGCACAAGCCCACATATTTAGGAGCTTCACCCCTAAAGCTGTGATTGCGTACCATATTTTCATATATTGTTTTAGGGGCGATGCTCCTTATAGCTGCACCCGTTCGTCTCTCGTAGCCGTTTTAGTATGTAACAAGTATAACATTTTGACCTCCAAGGTTGTGCCAGTGAGATATTTCTTCTGTGCGTTGTTGAACAATAAGAAATAGTGCTTAATGTGCATGCCAATGGCTCCTAATCGGGAATGAGAGACAGGAGCATTCGGCTTTTAGTTAACGCGCACGCTGCGATCTTCATTAGCAGCCATTGGCATGTACATTGAGCACCATCTGACAAGAAAGGGTTGCTACGTTATACTCGCTGGGTGTAACCTCCTTAGCTTTAGCAACGTTTAGCGAGCGTCAAGCCACAGTGCCTTGAATACAATGAACTAGTATATACCATTAATCAACTCGAGATGGTTAAAGGTGGGAAGTAGATACGAAGCGCAAGCCGTAAGAAAGTGTGCGTGTGCCACCTCTCGTTTAGTCCTTGGAATGTGCACTGGATGGCGGTGAAGGAGAAACGAGAAAACAAACGAAGGCAGGGAGGTTGACGAGATGCTAGTATGCGGTATGTTACCCTACACCGGGGTTGGGGAATAGGGGGTTGAAAGAGAAAAGTAGAGTTGAAAAATAAATAAGGGAAAAACACCACACACACACACAAAATCGGTCCACACTGAGGCGTTCCGACAGGCCAGTAGTTCGCAAGAATCCCAGTAGTGCTTGCACGGCTTTCTTCTGTGACGATGAGTCATGACAATGGCGCAGTATACTTTCTTCTGACAGCGGCTGGTCGTCTAACCTGTTTAGTTTATTGGAAAGCTGTTGTCTTCCCAGGTTGTATTTCGGGCAGTCACACAAGATATGTCGAATGGTTTCTTCATCTCCGCAGTGTGCACAGTCGGCGGTGTCGGCCATACCTATGCGGAACGCGTACGCACGGGTAAACGCGACTCCCAACCATAGTCTGCCCAAAGCAGTAGCGTCGCCTCGTCGAATTTTTGTTGAATCAAGGGATCGTAATCTTGCATGCGTAAAAGGAGGCTTATTCCAAAGAGCCATGGAGCGTTGCCGAGCGAGCATGCGGAGCCTCCTAGCAGCGTCCGTCCTTGAGAGAGGTATTGACTGGTTGTTGTCTTCTGTATGAGCTGAACGGGCAGCTTGATCAGCTCGTTCGTTACCGATAATTACACAGTGGCTTGGCAACCCATGAAACATAACATGGTGCCCTTTCTCTGTTATATGGTGTAGCATTTCTGCTGTTTCAAATACCAACTGCTCATGTGGACCACTGCGTAGATTTGACAGAAGTGGCTGCAGTGCCGCCTTGCCGTCGCAGAAAATCGTCCACCGTTGCGTGCTTTCGTCGTTAATGAAATGCAGCGCACCACGAAGTGCTGCAAGCTCTGCTGCCGTTGTTGTGGTTGCATGAGCTGTTCTCAATTTGATGGTTGTGGCGTGCGTTGGAATAACGACCGCCGCAGTTGAGCTGTTTGGCAGGACGGAGTCATCGGTGTAGACGTGGGTGCAGTCTTGGTACTTCTCGTACAGCAGAAGTAAGGCGAGCTGCGTGAGGGCTGGTATTGAGAAAACTCGTTTTTTCTGAATGCCTGGTGTTGTCAGGTTGATTACTGGCTGTTTGAGGCACCATGGAGGAACTAAAGGTCTCGCCGCGGGCGTAAAACCAGTTGGTAGAGAGTCACCATTTGCAGTTATTGTTCAACAAAAGGAAGTATGTGGTCTATCCGCTGGTAGAGAGGCTAGGTGGTGATGGGGAGTCCGGCCCACATGCCTTATGTGTGTCCTCATAGCTTCAATTTCAATATGGGTCTCCACGAGGTGGTCTTTGGCTATAGCTATAGTCGCCTATATTGAGGCACCCTCAGGCAGACCTAGACATATTCGAAGAGCGTGTGCCTGAACGCTTTGTATCATGCGTCGACTTGTTTTGCTGGCGTTTGATAATGCAGGCAGACTGTATCGTAAAAAGCCAAGGAAAAGCACTCTGTACAGTCGTAACATAGCATTAGGCTGCATTCTCCAAGTCTTTCCAGCGAGAAACCAGAAAAGATGGTATATGCCTGTCAATCGCTTTTTCAAATACGACACATAAGGGCTCCACGATATGTCTCTGTCGACTATGACACCCAAAAATTTGTGAGATCGACGATATGGTATATTTTGATCGTTAATTGGCACTCTGTAATTCGACATGGGTTTGCGCGTAAATGCCAGAAGAGCGCACATTCCGGAGGAAATTTCCAGGCCTCGATTGCGTAGATACAAAGAGGTTGCAGTAGCAGCTCTCTGGATTCTCGCTCGTAACTGCAGGTGAGTTACCGCAGATGTCCATATGCAGATGTCATCAGCGTATGTTGATAGATAAATATTGTTTGGTAGGTGCGTATGCAGAGCGATTAGTGTTATATTGAATAGCACAGGCTCAATACACCACACTGAGGGACGCCACGACAACTGAATTGTG